CAGGAACAGATACTTTCAAGCCAGGAACAGAACTTCGTCAATTATTATCTGAGGCTGCATGGTCATCTATCCAGACAGGTTTGGTTGTGTACTTATGCCTGGGAACAATGAGGTGATGTTCCTGGGTTACACATGCCTGTTCTTTGTAGGCTTGTTTAATAAAAAAAATGGTTCAAAACTCGTTTCGGATGTAGGGGGCACCGGTGGTTCGATTCTGGTTTAAAACTGGCTTCTCTGGCTTGAGACAGAAGCGGGGAAAGTAAAGGGAGGAAATTCAGCCTTCCCTGGTTTAAAACTGGCTTCTCTGGCTTGAAGCCAGAAGCGGGGAAAGCAAAGGGAGGAAATTCAGCCTTCCCCGGTTTAAAACTGGCTTCTCTGGCTTAAGCCAGAAGCGGGGAAAGCAAAGGGAGGAAATTCAGCCTTCCCTGGTTTAAAACTGGCTTCTCTGGCTTAAGCCAGAAGCGGAGAAAGAAAAGGGAGGAAATTCAGCCTTCCCTGGTTTAAAACTGGCTTCTCTGGCTTGAGGCAGAAGCAGAGAAAGAAAAGGGAGGAAATTCAGCCTTCCCTGGTTTAAAACTGGCTTCTCTGGCTTGAGGCAGAAGCGGAGAAAGAAAAGGGAGGAAATTCAGCCTTCCCTGGTTTAAAACTGGCTTCTCTGGCTTGAGACAGAAGCGGAGAAAGAAAAGGGAGGAAATTCAGCCTTCCCTGGTTTAAAACTGGCTTCTCTGGCTTGAGGCAGAAGCAGAGAAAGAAAAGGGAGGAAATTCAGCCTTCCCTGGTTTAAAACTGGCTTCTCTGGCTTGAGGCAGAAGCGGAGAAAGAAAAGGGAGGAAATTCAGCCTTCCCTGGTTTAAAACTGGCTTCTCTGGCTTGAGGCAGAAGCAGAGAAAGAAAAGGGAGGAAATTCAGCCTTCCCTGGTTTAAAACTGGCTTCTCTGGCTTGAGGCAGAAATGGGGAAAGCAAAGGGAGGAAATTCAGCCTTCTCTGGTTTAAAACTGGCTTCTCTGGCTTGAGGCAGAAGCGGAGAAAGAAAAGGGAGGAAATTCAGCCTTCCCTGGTTTAAAACTGGCTTCTCTGGCTTGAGGCAGAAGCAGAGAAAGAAAAGGGAGGAAATTCAGCCTTCCCTGGTTTAAAACTGGCTTCTCTGGCTTGAGGCAGAAGCGGAGAAAGAAAAGGGAGGAAATTCAGCCTTCCCTGGTTTAAAACTGGCTTCTCTGGCTTGAGACAGAAGCGGAGAAAGAAAAGGGAGGAAATTCAGCCTTCCCTGGTTTAAAACTGGCTTCTCTGGCTTGAGGCAGAAGCAGAGAAAGAAAAGGGAGGAAATTCAGCCTTCCCTGGTTTAAAACTGGCTTCTCTGGCTTGAGGCAGAAGCGGAGAAAGAAAAGGGAGGAAATTCAGCCTTCCCTGGTTTAAAACTGGCTTCTCTGGCTTGAGACAGAAGCGGAGAAAGAAAAGGGAGGAAATTCAGCCTTCCCTGGTTTAAAACTGGCTTCTCTGGCTTGAGGCAGAAGCAGAGAAAGAAAAGGGAGGAAATTCAGCCTTCCCTGGTTTAAAACTGGCTTCTCTGGCTTGAGACAGAAGCGGAGAAAGAAAAGGGAGGAAATTCAGCCTTCCCTGGTTTAAAACTGGCTTCTCTGGCTTGAGGCAGAAGCAGGAGAAAGAAAAGGGAGGAAATTCAGCCTTCCCTGGTTTAAAACTGGCTTCTCTGGCTTGAGGCAGAAGCGGAGAAAGAAAAGGGAGGAAATTCAGCCTTCCCTGGTTTAAAACTGGCTTCTCTGGCTTGAGACAGAAGCGGAGAAAGAAAAGGGAGGAAATTCAGCCTTCCCTGGTTTAAAACTGGCTTCTCTGGCTTGAGGCAGAAGCAGAGAAAGAAAAGGGAGGAAATTCAGCCTTCCCTGGTTTAAAACCAATCAGAAACCAACATTATGACCCAGGAACAAACCAACATAAAATAGCCCATATTTTTGGAGTGTGGGGACATGGAGAGACTCGAATATCCGCATTTTTCGGCCAGAACTGAGATATTCCTGCAATGGAAAATCCCATATTTTCGGAGTGTAGGGACATGCAGAGATTCGAATATCCGCATTTTTCAGCTAGAACTGAGATATTCCTGCAATGGAAAATCCTGTATTTTTGGAGTGTGGGGACATGCAGAGACTCGAATATCCGCATTTTTCGGCCAGAACCGGGATATTCGTGGAATCGAAAATCCCGTATTTTTGGAGTGTAGGGACATGCGGAGATTCGAATATTCATCCGCATTTTCCAGCCAGAACTGAGATATTCGTGCAATGGAAAATCCCATATTTTCAGAGTGTAGGGACATGCAGAGATTCGAATATCCACATTTTTCGGCCAGAACTGGGATATTCCCGCAATGGAAAATCCCGTATTTTGGAGTGTAGGGACATGCAGAGATTCGAATATCCACATTTTTCGGCCAGAACTGGGATATTCGCGCAATGGAAAATCCCGTATTTTCGGAGTGTAGGGACATGAGGAGATTCGAATATTCGCATTTTTCGGCTAGAACTGAGATATTCCTGCAATGGAAAATCCCGTATTTTCGGAGTGTAGGGACATGAAGAGTTTCAAATATTCGCATTTTTCGGCTAGAACTGAGATATTCCTGCAATGGAAAATCCCATATTTTCGGAGTGTAGGGACATGCAGAGATTCGAATATCCGCATTTTTGGGCCAGAACTGGGATATTCCTGCAATGGAAAATCCCGTATTTTTGGAGTGTAGGGACATGCGGAGATTCGAATATCCCCATTTTTCGGCCAGAACTGTGATATTCCTGTAATGGAAAATCCTGTTTTTTTGTAGTGTAGGGACATGCGGAGATTCGAATATTCATCCGCATTTTCCAGCCAGAACTGTGATATTCCTGCAATTATAAATCCCATATGTTCGGAGTGTAGGGACATGCAGAGATTCCAATATTCGCATTTTTCGGCTAGAACTGAGATATTCGTGCAATGGAAAATCCCGTATTTTTGGAGTGTAGGGACATGCGGAGATTCGAATATCCGCATTTTTGGGCCAGAACTGGGATATTCCTGTAATGGAAAATCCCGTATTTTTGGAGTGTAGGGACATGCGGAGATTCGAATATCCGCATTTTTCGGCCAGAACTGGGATATTCCTGTAATGGAAAATCCCGTTTTTTTGTAGTGTAGGGACATGCGGAGATTTGAATATTCATCCGCATTTTCCAGCCAGAACTGTGATATTCCTGCAATGGAAAATCCCGTATTTTTGGAGTGTAGGGACATGCAGAGATTCGAATATTCATCCGCATTTTCCGGCCAGAACTGGGATATTCCCGCAATGGAAAATCCCGTATTTTTGGAGTTTGGGGACATGCAGAGACTCGAATATCCACATTTTCCGGCCAGAACCGGGATATTCGTGCAATGGAAAATCCCGTATTTTTGGAGTGTAGGGACATGCGGAGATTCGAATATTCATCCGCATTTTCCAGCCAGAACTGTGATATTCCTGCAATAGAAAATCCTGTATTTTTGGAGTGTGAGGACATGCAGAGATTAGAATATCCACATTTTCCGGCCAGAACTGGGATATTCCCGCAATGGAAAATCCCGTATTTTCGGAGTGTGGGGACATGCAGAGATTCGAATATCTGCATTTTTCAGCCAGAACTGAGATATTTGTGCAATGGAAAATCCCGTATTTTCAGAGTGTAGGGACATGCAGAGATTCGAATATCCGCATTTTCTAGCCAGAACCGGGATATTCGTGCAATGGAAAATCCCGTATTTTCGGAGTGTAGGGACATGCGGAGATCCGAATATCCGCATTTTCCATCCAGAACTGGGATATTCTCGCAATGGAAAATCCCGTATTTTTGGAGTGTAGGGATATGCGGTGATTCGAATATCCGCATTTTCCATCCAGAACTGGGATATTCCCGCAACTGAAAATCTCATGTTTTTACCACTTTGTAGCAATTCTTTCCTTGTTTTCAGCTAATGTTGTCTAGCCACCCTCCGTTTTGATCCGGGGACTCCAGAGATAACGGTATTGTGTGGATGGGCCCCTGGTGACACTTTGAAAACCACTGTTTTAAACCAATCGGCGTGGCAACGTGGGCAGTGACATAAACCAAGAAACCTGTTAAAAATTATGCATAGGTATACCATTTTTATTTTAATACATCTCATTCGTGTCGCATCCCGCCAGGAGACATTGCCGTTACTGCTCTGTGTGCCGTGTTTCCTCCACCACCATCACCTCCTCCTACTCCACTTTCTCCTACTCCACTTTCTCCTCCTCCTCCTCGCTATTGCCTTCTTCTCTATGGGTTATTGGTAAATGTAGTCCAAAGGGATAATAAAAAGCTAGGCAAAGAGTAAAAAGAAAGCTTAATAATAATAATAATAATAATAACTTTATGGTGTGTAAAAAAACAAAACAAAACAAAACATCCACTTAAGGCGACCCAGAAGGATTTCGTTTCTCGTTTTTTTCCCCCCATATAGACTTTTTAAAAACACCACCAAAAGCCAGAAACCGCACTGTTTCGGTAGTGTCTGCCGTGGCATCGGATACATTCCTGCTCTTTGCTTTGTGTGTGTGTGTGTGTGTGTGTGTGCCTCGGCAGCGGCGGTAGCCTCCACTCCGTCAGCGTCCATCCATCTCCACCAAGAATGCAGGCACATCGCTTGACCACAACAAACCGAGAAAGGATAAAGCACCATGGACTGCTCTCTTCGAAGAGGAAATCCGCACTTCACCGAGTGTCCCTTTTCCCTTCTTTCCCTTCTTTCTCTTTTTTTCGTGTTGCTGGAGTCCTTTTCCGTTACGTGCCACCCGCCTCGTCTTCGGACGGGGAAACTCCGTCTTGTTTCGTCGTCGAGTGCTACAATACTTGCTTTGATGTGGTATTAAACAAATGTACATTGTCTCTTTCGTTCTCGCGAAGGGTGTCGTGTCTCTCTCTCTCTCTCTCTCTCTTTTTCTCCCTCCCTCGTTTGTTTATGTTAAGCCAGTTTGTCTTTTGGGTTCTCCCGGGGAGGAGAACCAACGAAGTATACAGTCAATGAAGCACCATACACAGTAGGTTCAGGAATGTAGCAAACCATGTACATCCATGTCCCAGAGAGAAAACGTCTTCGAGCTTACTTTCACCTTACGTCTGCAAACAGAAAGGAAAGAAAGGAAGGTTATGATGGACATAGGCCAAGTCGGTCTTTGCTCTTCCAGATACCCTCTATATAACCCAGTGGTTCCCAACCTGTGGTCCATGGACCACCAGTAGTCCACAAGAACTAAAATATGATCCACAGCCTCACCGTTACTACACGGTTGCAACGAGAGTGACTGGTCTCGCAAAACCCTCTTATAGTGCCGAAGCTTATTGAATACAGTTTTCTGTGGGTGAGCAGATGGTGACTATTGGAATGCATATGTTCTGTATCAGAAACTAGAGCTGATGTGGTCTATCCAATGCAATTTTCTCAATCAGCACCCCAAATAACCAAACCGAATCTAAAGCTGACCAAAACTGATTCGTAATATTTCGGGTACTAATGTTGAACAGTGGTCCCTGGTCTAAGTAGTCCCTGGTCAAAGTGGTCCCTGGTCAAAATGGTCTCTGGTCAAATAGTCCCTGCTCAAGTGGTCCCTGGTGAAAATGACCCCTGGTCAAAGTGATCCCTGGTCAAAGTGGTGCCTGTTTTAATGGTCCCAGGTCATTAAAGAGAGTCTGGTCAAGTGGTTCCTAGTAAAGTGGACCCTGGTCAAAATGGTCCTTGAACAAGTTGTCCCTGGTCAAGTGGCCCCTGGTGAAAATGACCCTTGGTCAAAGTGATCCCTGGTCAAGTGGTTCCTAGTCAAGTGGTCCCTGGTCAAAGTGGTGCCTGTTATAATGATCCCAGGTCAAAGTGGTCTCTGGTCAAGTGGTTCCTAGTAAAGTGGACCCTGGTCATAATGGTCCCTGATCAAGTTGTCCCTGGTCAAGGGGTTCCTGGTCAAAATGGTCCCTGGTCAAGTGGTCCCTGGTCAAGTAGTCCCTAGTCAAGTGGGCACTGATCAAAGTGGTCCCTGCTCAAGTACTCCCTGGTCAAGTGGTCCCTGGTCAAAATGGTCCCTGGTCAAGTGGTCCCTGGTCAAGTAGTCCCTAGTCAAGTGGTTCCTGGCCAAAGCGGTCCCTAGTTAAGTGGGCCCTGGTCAAGTAGTCCCTGGTCAAAATGCTCCCTGGTCAAAGTGGTCCCTAGAGAAGTAGTCCCTGATCAAGTGGTTCCTGGCCAAGGGGTCCCTAGTCAAGTGGGACCTGGTCAAAGTGGTCCCTGGTCAAGTTGTCACTGGTCAAAGTGGTCACTGGTCAAAATAGTCCCTGATCAAGTGGTCCCTGGTCAAGTAGTCCCTGGTCAAGTGGTCCCTGGTCAAAGTGGTCCCTGGTCAAAATGGTCCCTGATCAAGTGGTCCCTGGTCAAGCAGTCCCTGGTCAAGTGGTTCCTGGTCAAAGTGGTCCCTGGTCAAAAAATGTTGGGAACCACTCATATAACCAGATTATTCCTAGGTTAAAACAATATGGAGAAGTTGATCATAGAGCAGGCATAAGCAAAATTTGGCCTTCCCTCCAGGTGTTTTGTACTTCAACTCGCACAATTCCTAACAGCCCATGCCTGTCATGGAGTGTTGGTAATAGCAACCTTCTTCATGTCTCCACTTGTAATTTGTCTTGTCGATGATTCTGTTTACTTGCTGTATTGTATATGTATGTCTTGGTATGTATAGCTTTTCCTTTACTCTCTATGCATCTTGAGGTTGTGGAAGGGGCTGCAAACCTCATGATCAGATCTGGGACTTCTCAGAGCTCAGACTCCATTTTTAGAAGAAGACAGAGACGCTATGAAACTTTGAACAGCTAAGAGCAAACACATGCCTTGATGTTTGTAAGAAAAGAGTTGTGTGCCATCTATACAGAGATTATCTCAAACATAACTGAAACTGGACTGATAAGTTATGTACCTATGCTATGATGAACACATTAAGTTGTGAGTAAACCAAATATGTTATTTTTTTTTACCAAAACCTTTTTCATTTTTGTCTCTTGAGTGCATGATATGAAATTAGTAGTTTTATGGGATAGTAGGTTTCTTACAAACAAAGCATGTGTTTCCTCTTAGCAGTCCAAAGTCTCATAGTATCTCTGTCTTCTTCTAAAAATGGAGTCTGAGCTCTGAGCAGTCCCAGAACTAATCATGTGGCCTGTAGCCTCTCCCACAATCTCAAGAATCCTAGACTAAAGGGAAAGCTACATACCAAAACATACATATACAATCCAGTAAGTAAATAAAATCATATACAAGACAAATTACTAGTGGAGGCTTGACGAAGGTTGCTATTTCCAAAACTCTATGAATGTTTGTGTATAATTAGTTTGTATTCCGGTATTGAATGTTTGCAGTATTTACCGTATGTTATGCTCCGCCCTGAGTCCCCTTCCAGGTGAGAAGGGTGGAATATAAATGATTTAAATAATAATAATAATAATAATAATAATAATAATAATAATAATATATTGTCGAAGGCTTTCATGGCTGGAATCACTGGGTTCTTGTAGGTTTTTTCGGGCTATATGGCCACGTTCTAGAGGCATTCTCTCCTGACGTTTCGCCTGCATCTATGGCAAGCATCCTCAGAGGTAGCGAGGTCTGTTAGAACTAGGAAAATGGATTTATATATCTGTGGACTAACCAGGGCGGGACAAAGAACTCTTGTCGGACTACACAGAGAAGCCACTGAAATCCACAAAAATGTGGACAATTTCAGCAGAAAGGAGGAAACCATGAAAATGAACAAAATCTGGCTACCAGTGTTAAAAAAACTCAAAAATTAGAACAGCAAAACAACAGAAAGGAAACAATCAGGGACATCTAAACACCTCTCAACAAAAGATTGCCCCAGGCACTGCCAGGCCCTCAAAAGCTAATAAAGGTGGTCAGTTGAAACATTCACACCTATCTCCAGCAGACAAGACTCCTTTGTCCCACCCTGGTCATTCCACAGATGTATAAACTCTTTTTCCTAGTTCCAACAGACCTCACTACCTCTGAGGATGCTTGCCATAGATGCAGGTGAAATGTCAGGAGAGAATGCCTCTAGAACATGGCCATATAGCCCGAAAAAACCTACAACAACCCATAACAAATAATAATAATAATAATAATAATAATAATAATAATAATAATAATATATTATTATTATTATTATTATTATTATATTATAATATTATAATATATGATATAATATAATATATGATATAATATAATATAATATATATAATATAATAATTAATATAATATAATATAATATAAAATATAAATAATATAAATATATTATATAAATTAATATATTATATAAATATAAATATAATTATAATAAAAATAATAACATTATAATTATATATATATTATTATTATATTATAATATAATATTATAATATAATATAATATATAATATAATTAATATAATATAATAATAATTATATAATATAATATATAATAATTATTATATAATATAATATATAAATATAATATATTTATATAAATAAAATATAATATAGCCCGAAAAAACCTACAACAAATTATATATATAATATATATAATATATTTATTATATTATAATATAATATTATAATATACTATAATATAATATAATATAATATAATATAATATATATATTTATATAAATATAAATATAAATATAATATAGCCCGAAAAAACCTACAACAAATTATATATATTATATATATTATATATTTATTATATTATAATATAATATAATAATATAATATATAATATATATAATATAATATATATAATATAATTAATATAATATAATAATATAATATAATATATAAAATATATTTATATAAATATAAATATAATGTAGCCCGAAAAAACCTACAACAACCCATAATAATAGATTACCATATAATCCAGATTATCAAATCAGACAATTCAAATTATGTGCTTTGGACTGGATGGTATGAGTCTACACTGCCATATAATCCAGTTCAAAGCAGATAATCTGGAAATGGCAATGTGGATCCATCTTGAGCAGAGCCTAGGAGCGACATACATTGAGATGTTACAGCCAACTACCAGCAAGCAGCACCGTTTGCATTTCGATTCATTCGACTATCATTGCAGAACGCCTCGTTCCCCCAGGAATCAACGATAATTAAGAGAAGAGTGGGGGACAGAAGGTGGAAATTGTGTAAATGCAAGATAGCCAAAAGCAAGGATTCTAATCAGTGATTAGGAAGGAGAGTGGGAGCAGTTGATTGTGTTTCCCATTCCTTGTGTGATTAGGGGTGGCTTCAGCGCACGGATCCTACCTGGTCACCACCAGCAGTATTTTTATGAGGGTTTTAACTTTTTTCGTTTCCGTTTTTTACTTTTTCCCCTTCCTGTTGGCATAAGGGCAAGGTAAATAAAAGCCTGGGTGAAGGCAATGCATGGCTTAGTTTAGTTAAAAGAAAAATACAGCATTTTCATTCTTACTTATTTATTATTTATTTATTATTTTGAATGCTTGCAGAAGTGAGGAAACCACGGCATTCCAAATATTGTGTTGTTAAAGTCTTTCATGACCAGAATAACTGTCTGAAGCTCTAGGTGCCCTTACTGCCTATTACAGGGAAAACCAGCTTATTCCTAATCCATCTAAAACACAGACATGTGCCTTTCATCTCAAGAACAGAGAAGCATCCCGAGCTCTGAGGATTATTACCTGGGAAGGAATCCCACTGGAGCATTGCAGCGCACCCAAATCCCTGGGGGTCACTTTGGACCGTGCTCTGACCTACAAGAAGCACTGCCTGAATATCAAGCAAATATTGGGTGCTAGAAACAATATCATACGAAAGCTGACTGGCACAACCTGGGGATCACAACCAGACACAGTGAAGGCATCTGCCCTTGCGCTATGCTACTCTACTGCTGAGTATGCATGCCCAGTGTGGAACACATCTCACCACACTAAAACAGTGGATGTGGCTCTTAATGAGACATGCCGCATTATCACAGGGTGTCTGCGCCCTACACCACGAGAGAAATTACACTCTCTAGCCGGTATCGCAACACCTGACATCCGCCGGGAAGGAGCAGCCAATAGTGAAAGGACCAAGGCAGAGACATCTCCAGCTCATTCCCTGTTTGGGGATCAGCCAGCACGTCAACGACTTAAATCTAGAAATAGTTTCCTAAGATCTACAGAGACACTCAGTGGAACACCTCAGCAAGTGAGAGTCCAAAAGTGGCAGGCTCAAACCCATGGCTGATACCCAATGAGAGACTCCCCCCTGGGCACACAGAAAACTAAACAGACTGCGCTCTGGCACCACGAGATGCAGAGCCAACCTCAAGAAATGGGGCCACAAAGTGGAATAATCCACGACATGCGAGTGCAGAGAAGAGCCAACCACTGACCACCTGCTGCAATGCAACCTGAGCCCTGCCACATGATGCACAAGGGAGGACCTTCTTGCAGCAACACCAGAGGCACTCCAAGGGGCCAGATACTGGTCAAAGGACATTTAATCAACTACCAAGCTTGCAAACTTTGTGCTTTGTCTGTCTGTTTGTTTGTTTTTGTTAAAAATGTAATACAAATGTTTGGTTGCTGCTGACACATTAAACAAATAAATGGCCAGAATCACTGGAACAGCTCGGTAGTATGTTAGGAATGGTGGGAGTTGTAGTCCAAAACATCTGGAGGGCCAAAGTTTGCCCATGCCCGGTCTATACTTTTTTAAATGAGCCAGCAATGTCATGCTGCAGCTAAAAAAGCCAATGGGATTTTGGCGTGCATCAATAGGAGCATAGTGTCTAGATCTAGGGAAGTCATGCTCCCCATGCTCTATTCTGCTTTGGTGAGACCACACCTGGAATATTGTGTCCAATTCTGGGCACCACAATTCAAGAGAGATATTGACTCTAAGCTGGAATGTGTCCAGAGGAGGGCGACTCAAATGATCAAGGGTCTGGAGAACAAGCCCTATGAGGAGCGGCTTAAGGAGCTGGGCATGTTTAGCCTGAAGAAGAGAAGGCAGAGAGGAGATGTGATAGCCATGTATAAATATGTGAGAGGAAGCCACAGGGAGGAGGGAGCAAGCTTGTTTTCTGCTTCCCTGGAGACAAGAACGCAATGGAAAAATGGCTTCAAACTACAAGAGAGGAGATTCCATCTGAACGCGAGGAAGAACTTCCTGACTGTGAGAGCTGTTCAGAAGCGGAATTCTCTGCCCTGGAGTGTGGTAGAGGCTCCTTCTTTGGAGGTTGTGAATCAGAGGCTGGATGGCCATCTGTTGAGGGGGATTTGAACAGATTTTCCTGCTTCTTGACAGAATGGGGTTGGACTGGATGGCCCATGAGGTCTCTTCCAACTCTAGGATTCTATATAAGCCATATAAAAACAGTAGAGACGATAAAAACAATAAAAACTCAAGTCCTCATTACTAAAATCATTTTCCAGTCGCATCGTCCAATCGTTCTGTGGATCTAAATTAGCCTGTTACACTGAATTTGCAATTGCCTGCTCAAAAAGCCAAATTTTAACCCCTTTTTGAAATGTTAGGAGGGAGGGGGCTGATTTGATATCCCTGGGGAGGGTGTTCCATAGCTGATGGGCCACCGCTGAGAAGGCCCTGTCTCTCATTCCCACCAATCGCATCTGCAAAGGAGGCGGGACCAAGAGCAGGGCCTTCCCAGATGATCTTAAGCTCCTAGCTGGTTCATAAGGAGAGATACATCCGCACAGGTAAGCTGGGCTGGAACCGTTTAGGGCTTTATAGGCTAAAGCCAGCACTTCGAATTGTGCCCGGTAGCAAACTGGCAGCCAATGGAGTTGGTGCAACAGAAGAGTTGTATGCTCCCTGAGCACCGCTCCTGTTAGTAACCTGGCTGCCACCCGTTGGCGCAATTGAAGCTCCCAAACAGTCTTCAAAGGCAGCCCCACATAGAGAGCGTTGTAGTAGTCTATACGGGATGTAACCAGAGCATGGACAAGGAATGGGTATAGAAGGTGTATGTAAAGGATCTATGTACCACCCGCTGGACCAATTGAAGCTTCCGAACAGTCTTCAAAGGCAGCCCCATGTAGAGAGAGTTGCAGTAGTCTATACGGGATGTAACCAGAGCATGGACAAGGAATGGGTATAGAAGGTGTATGTAAAGGATCTATGTACCACCCGCTGGACCAATTGAAGCTTCCGAACAGTCTTCAAAGGCAGCCCCACGTAGAGAGTGTTGCAGTAGTCTATACAGGATGTAACCAGAGCATGGACAAGGAATGGGTATAGAAGGTAAAGGATCTATGTACCACCCGCTGGACCAATTGAAGCTACTGAACAGTCTTCAAAGGCAGCCCCACGTAGAGAGCGTTGCAGTAGTCTATGCAGGATGTAACCAGAGCATGTACAAGGAATGGGTATAGAAGGTATATGTAAAGGATCTATGTACCACCTGCTGGACCAATTGAAGCTACTGAACAGTCTTCAAAGGCAGCCCCACGTAGAGAGCGTTGCAGTAGTCTATACAGGATGTAACCAGAGCATGGACAAGGAATGGGTATAGAAGGTGTATGTAAAGGATCTATGTACCACCCGCTGGACCAATTGAAGCTTCCGAACAGTCTTCAAAGGCAGCCCCACGTAGAGAGCGTTGCAGTAGTCTATACGGGATGTAACCAGAGCATGGACTACCGTGGCCAAGGAATGCGTATAGAAAGTATGTGTAAGGAATGTATGTTGTTGTTTATTCATTCAGTTGCTATTTGCTCCAAAGTGTGGTGGACCCTTCTTCTATGGAGGTTTTGAAACAGAGGCTGGATGGTCATCTGTTGGGGGGGGCTTTGAATGCGATTTTCCTGCTTCTTGGCAGAATGGGGTTGGACTGGATGATGGCCCACCAGGTCTCTTCCAACTCTAGGATTGTATATAAAGGGGGTGGGGTTATCTGGAATTAAATAAAATTTCATCGTCATCATCACCATCATATCTGATGGGCCACCACTGAGAAGGCCCTGTAATGGGGTTGGACTGGATGGTACATGAGTTCTCTTCCAACTCTAGGATTGTATATAAAGGAGGGAGGGGGGATATTTGGAATTAAATAAAATTTCACTAGAACATTTCTCCATCATCATAATTACCATCATATCCGACGGGCCACCACTGAGAAGGCCCCGTCTCTCGTTCCCAACATTGAGAAAAACCGAAGCCACCCCGTTTTCGCCCGCACCAAATGAACCTCCTCCTTCCACGCACCCCACTTACCAGTTTCTTCTTCTCGAAAATCTGAATGAGAATTTGACGACGTACAGGTGCACTCCATATGCTCTTCTAGCTTTACCAGGACTTCTTTTAATTTTGGCTTTTTCCTAACATATTCCACTTTTGCCACCTGTGGTTTGGGGAGAAAAAACAAAGGCCCGTTAAGTATGATTAAGTAAACAGATAAAGGTTGTTGTTGGTTTTTTTGTACAATCTCTTTAGTTTACAGTCCTGGCAAAATGGCGCGACCTGAACGAATCCCAGACCTTGTGTGACTGTGGAGCAGAACAGACAATTCCGCATCTGTATACATGTCCATTGTGCCCTGCCTCATGTACAGAGGAGGAATTGTTGGAGGCTACAGACAATGCAGTTGCTGTTGCCCGTTTTTTGGTCGAAAGCTATTTGGCTGCCTGCACACCTATTTTTATCAGCTTTATACTAATTGATGCAGTGCTTTTGATACGGAATAAATAAGTCCACTTGTCTTCAGGAAGGGACACAGATAAAGCTGTTGGTTTCCTAGCTATTTAAAGCTATGATGGTTCAAAGGAGAATGAAGAGATAGAGAATTTCATCTATGCTGACGATAGAGTCATCACCACCCAAGCAGGGAGCTTTGAAATGGTTGAAAAAAGCCCTCCAAAGCCTTAGGTGCTCTTACTGGCTATTACAGGGGAAACCAGTTTGCTCTATCAATTAATAACATTTACACAAATTATAAGCCACTGCCGGAAGGGACAGAGAGTTTAATCTATGCTGACGATTGTGCCATCACCACTCAAGCAGGGAGCTTTGAAAAGGTTGAACGGAAGCTCTCTGAAGCTTTGGGCGCCCTTATGGCCTATTACAGCTTGTACCATCAATGCTAACATTTTCCCAAAGGACCAGCCAGTGCCAGAAGGGACAGAGAGTTTCATCTATGTTGATGATAGTGCCATCACTGCTCAAGCAGGGAGCTTTGAAATGATTGAACAGAAGCATTCTGAAGCTTGAGGTGCTCTTACTGCCTATTACAGCTTGTACCATCAATGCTAACATTTTCCAAAAGGACCAGCCAGTGTCAGAAGGGACAGAGAGTTTCATCTATGTTGACGATCATGCCATCACCACTCAAGCAGGGAGCTTTGAAATGGTTGAACAGAAGCTCTCTGAAGCTTTGGGTGCCCTTACTGACTATTACAGCTTGTACCATCAATGCTGAACATTTACCCAAATGACCAGCCACTGCCAGAAGGGACAGAGAGTTTCATCTATGCTGATGATCGTGCCATCACCACCCAAGCAGGGAGCTTAGAAATGGTTGAACAGAAGCTCTCTGAAGCTTTGGGTGCCCTTACTGCCTATTAGAGCTTGTACCATCAATACTTAACATTAACCCAAAGGACCAGCCACTGCCAGAAGGGACAGAGAGTTTCATCTATGCTGACGATCGTGCCATCACCACTCAAGCAGGGAGCTTTGAAAAGGTTGAACGGAAGCTCTCTGAAGCTTTGGGCGCCCTTATGGCCTATTACAGCTTGTACCATCAATGCTAACATTTTCCCAAAGGACCAGCCAGTGCCAGAAGGGACAGAGAGTTTCATCTATGCTGATGATCATGCCATCACTGCTCAAGCAGGGAGCTTTGAAATGATTGAACAGAAGCATTCTGAAGCTTGAGGTGCTCTTACTGCCTATTACAGCTTGTACCATCAATGCTAACATTTTCCAAAAGGACCAGCCAGTGTCAGAAGGGACAGAGAGTTTCATCTATGTTGACGATCATGCCATCACCACTCAAGCAGGGAGCTTTGAAATGGTTGAACAGAAGCTCTCTGAAGCTTTGGGTGCCCTTACTGACTATTACAGCTTGTACCATCAATGCTGAACATTTACCCAAATGACCAGCCACTGCCAGAAGGGACAGAGAGTTTCATCTATGCTGATGATCGTGCCATCACCACCCAAGCAGGGAGCTTAGAAATGGTTGAACAGAAGCTCTCTGAAGCTTTGGGTGCCCTTACTGCCTATTAGAGCTTGTACCATCAATACTTAACATTAACCCAAAGGACCAGCCACTGCCAGAAGGGACAGAGAGTTTCATCTATGCTGACGATCGTGCCATCACCACTCAAGCAGGGAGCTTTGAAAAGGTTGAACGGAAGCTCTCTGAAGCTTTGGGCGCCCTTATGGCCTATTACAGCTTGTACCATCAATGCTAACATTTTCCCAAAGGACCAGCCAGTGCCAGAAGGGAAAGAGAGTTTCATCTATGTTGATGATAGTGCCATCACTGCTCAAGCAGGGAGCTTTGAAATGATTGAACAGAAGCTATCTGAAGCTTGAGGTGCTCTTACTGCCTATTACAGCTTGTACCATCAATGCTAACATTTTCCAAAAGGACCAGCCAGTGTCAGAAGGGACAGAGAGTTTCATCTATGTTGACGATCATGCCATCACCACTCAAGCAGGGAGCTTTGAAATGGTTGAACAGAAGCTCTGAAGAAGGGCCTGCCTCAGGGGAGCGTGCTTGCTCCATCCATGTTCAACATCAACACAAATGACCAGCCACTGCCAGAAGGGACAGAGAGTTTCATCTATGCTGATGATCGTGCCATCACCACCCAAGCAGGGAGCTTTGAAATAGTGGAAAAGAAGCTCTCTGAAGCTTTAGGCACTCTTACTGCCTATTACAGGGAAAATCAGGTTGCATGATCAATGTCATTTACACAAATGACCAGCCACTGCCAGAAGGGACAGAGAGTTTCATCTATGTTGACGATTGTGCCATCACCGCCCAAGCAGGGAGCTTTGAAGTGGTTGAACAGAAGCTCTCCAAAGCCTTAGGTTCTCTAACTGGCTATTATAGGGAAAACCAGCTTGTTCTATCAATTTATAACATTGACCCAAATGACCAGCCACTGCCAGAAGGGACAGAGAGTTTCATCTATGCTGACCATCGTGCCATCACCGCCCAAGCAGGGAGCTTTGAAGTGGTTGAACAGAAGCTCTCCAAAGCCTTAGCTGCTCTTACTGGCTATTATAGGGAAAACCAGCTTGCTCTACCAATTTATAACATTTACACAAATGACCAGCCACTGCCAGAAGGGACAGAGAGTTTCATCTATGCTGACGATTGTGCCATCACCACCCAAGCAGGGAGCTTTGAAATGGTTGAACAGAAGCTCTCTGAAGCTTGAGGTGCTCTGTCTATTACATGGAAAACCAGCTCATTCCCAATCCATGTAAAATGCAGGTGTGTGCTTTTCAATCTTAAAAACAGCATCTCGAGCTCTGAGGATGACCTGGGAAGGAATCCCACTGGAGCACTGCAGCACACCCAAATACCTGGGAGTCACTCTGGACCGTGCTCTGACTTACAAGAAGTGCCACTTGACTATCAAGCAAAGAGTTCCACTGTTGAACAGGTTGTACAGTCAAGAAGTTCTTCCTAATGTTCAGGTGGCATGAGCTACAAGGCTTTCCAAGGGCAGAGCTTGGAGGGAAATGCATGGCGAATCCGAGGCACTCAACATCAAAGGATGACTAATCCATCCCTTTGACAGCAACACAACACTGATTAAATCCACTACAATCACAAGATGGAAGAGACCGCATGGGCTATCCAGTCCAACCCTCTTCTGTCATGCAGGGAAAGCACAATCAAAGCAGCCCTGACAGATGGCCATCCAACCTCTGCTTAAATCTTCCAAGGAAAGAGCTTCCTTGAAATGCTATTAATCCATTCCAGGCCCCGACGCCCTATTTTTTTAAAGTATCTAAAATGTATGCAGTGATACCTTACGTTAAGAGTTTAATTTGTTTTGCAACTGAGCTCTTAACTCAAATTGCTCTTATCTCAAAGCTATTTTCCCATTGACATGCATTCATAGAATCACAGACTTGGAAGAGACCGCATGTGCTATCCAGTCCAACCCCCTTCTGTCATGCAGAGAAAGCACAATCAAAGTACCCCTGACAGACGGCCATCCAACCTCTGCTTAAAGCTTCCAAGGAAAGAGCTTCCTTGAAATGGATGGCCTGGATAGCCATCTGTCAGGGGTGATTTGAATGCAATATTCCTGCTTCTTGGCAGAATGGGGTTGGACTGGATGGCCCATCAGGTCTCTTCCAACTCTTTGATTCTAGGATTCTATGAAATGCTATTAATCCATTCTGGGCCCCGATGCCCTATTTTTTTTAAGTATCTAAAATGTATGCAGTGATGCCTTGAGTTAAGAGTTTAATTTGTCTTGTGACTGAGCTCGTAACTCAAATTGCTCTTATCTCAAAGCTATTTTCCCATTGAAATGCATTCATAGAATCATAGAGTTGGAAGAGACCACATGGGCCATCTAGTCCAACCCCATTCTGCCATGCAGGAAAAGCACAAAGTAGCCCTGACAGATATCCATCCAACCTCTGCTTAAAGCTTCCACAGAAGGAGCTTCCTTGAAATGCTGTTAATCCATTCCAAGGCCCTACCCTTCTATTTTTGTTGTTGTGTGTTTTTAAATAAAAATGTACTTTATAAATCACAAATAATGTATAAATGCACATTCACATAGAACAATAAACAAAGAAAAGTCATGGCTATCATATCTCCTCTCAGCCTTCTCTTCTTCAGGCTAAACATGCCCAGCTCCTTAAGCCGCTCCTCGTAGGGCTTGTTCTCCAGACCCTTGAACATTTTAGTCGCTCTCCTCTGGTAGAAGAAGCACAAAGTGGTGGCAAGGAAGCAGAAAGCAACACGCGAAGAGGCAGAAGCCTCCTTTCCCTCTTCCTCCTGTCCTCTTTCCAGCCTCTTTCCCTCTTTTGCTCTCTTTCTCTCTCTTCATGAAGCCAAACAAACCAGGAATAAAAATCACACAACATCAATTAAACCAAAATTCCTCCAAGCCAGTGGTTCTCAACCGGTGGGTCCCCAGATGTTTTGGCCTTCAACTCCCAGAAATCCTAACAGCTGGTCAACTGGAGTTGAAGGCCAAAACTCCTGGGGACCCACAAGTTGGGAACCACTGCTCAAAGCAGAAAAGAGCAAAGCAGACAGTAATAATCTCCCAAAACAGACAAGAGCACGAGGCCCGGAGGCTGCTCCCTTGAAGCTCTGAAGCCTTGGTCTCTCACTCTTGAGCTCCCTCTGGTGCT